CCCTGTGGGGTGGGGCCTGTGGTGGCATCCCCGCCCTTAGCTGAGGCTTTGGGTGGCCTTGTTCGCAGTTGCGGCTGCTGCCGGTGATACTGCTCATGGCTCGCGAGTCGCCAATCAAATCATCTTTACTTCATGCTGAACATCATCATTGTCGTCGTCATCCTCATCAACGGTACCATCAAAAGAACGGCTGCCACTATGACCATCGCCATACAACCCTCATAATTAAGCATTGTAATTCATGTCTGATGCGCAGATTGCTGCTTTCTGCACGGCGCAGGGGTTGGGTACCATAGGCGGTGGGGGCAGGGGTGGGGCGACACCCCCAATCCGCAGCAGCAGGCGACACGCCAACTGGCAGCGGTGAGGTACTATAGGGGAGGGGGGTTACCATGGGGGGCGGCCGGGGGGGGAGTATACCATGGGCGGGGGGGGGTGGTGGCCCGGGACCCGAGAGAATACATACACACATACATACACACATACATACATACATACATACATACATACATACATACATACATACATAAATACATATGTTCATACTTCCGTACATACTTACATACGTACATACATACGTACATACACACAGGCATACATGCAGACACGCATACACACAGACAGGCATACATACATACATACATACATACATACATACATACATACATACATACATACATACATACATACATGTGCCTATCTGCATTTATGGTCTTGTGGCTCTGGCCTAATGATTTTCTCAAGGGTCCTGCACTATGCATTGGGCCCGAAACCCTCCTATGATGACGTTGTAGTACCCTTATAGGAATCCTTGTAGCAACCCTGATTACAGACCTTGTATTTAGTAACCCATTGAGTTGGACCTGTGTTTCAAGTTACTTGAGCTCAAACTCACAACAGACCTTACAAAGACAAAATTACACAAGCATTCTATGTCCCTTCTGGCAGCTGCAACAAAGAGCACTACGATCGGCCTCTGTGTCGTTGAGTTGGAAGCCCGGGTGCGCCAGGAGAAGTTGAATGACCTGCTTTGGGTCTACATGGCAAGCTCTGCACATCTTACCAAACGCGATGTCAGCCGCATGGCACCATATAACAATTTTCATACCTCGAGAGTTTTATAGCATATGCTTTGACCCGAAGACCTGTATAGGAACTGGGTTGAGGCCTAAGTGCCAAGAAAAAGCTACATAAGCACATGGACCCTTAGCTACCTGTAAGACTCTTTCTGCGCCATGTCAACGCGAAAGGACACCGAACCGAATAACTCCTAAACCAAAAACGCTAAACCCTAAACCCTCAACCCCAAACCCTAAACCCTAAACAAAAAGCCCTAAACCCTCAACCCTAAACCCGTAAACCAAAAACTGCAATTCCAAAACTCAGGGCTTAGGGTGTATTTAACGTAGGGGCCCTGGCTGCCTCGATGATTGGGTTTCGGGTTTAGGGTTTAGGGTCTATTTTTACACATGTTGTGTTTGAAGGGTTTAGGGTTTAGGATTAAGTCTAGAGTCCAGAGAAATATCTATCTTAAGGAAGCCGAAGGAACAGCTTTTTGCAACGATTCGAGCCCCCATGTTACACTGAAAATCTGGATCGAGAGCCGGAAATCCTGTTGGCCCCTAAACCCTAAACCCTAAACCCTACACCTCCAGGCCGGAAAAGCGCGCGGCAGTCTGCAGCGCTTTGCGATCGGGGACTAGCTTCCTTGGGCTACGCGGTTTAGGGTTTAGGGTTTAGGGTACTCAAGGGATCCGGGGGACGGAAGGTTGTATAAACTGGTATAAGCCCTAAACCCTAAATTTGTCAGAAGGGTTCTAGCGACTTACCGCAAGACTTTAGAATCAGAGAGGACTTATTAAGTGGGCCTTAGGTAGGGTTCTAGTCACACGAACGTGCTAATTAGGCTACTTATCTGCATGTCTGTCTGTCTGGCTGTCTGTGTGTAACTGTAAGGCTCCATGTATTTACACATAACCCTAAACCCTGAACCCTAAACCGTGGCCGCGTATATTCTTAGGCTGAAAGGGGTGTGGAGCCTTAGGGAAAGAGCCCATGTACCCCGAAGCGCAAGCCCGCGATCTAAACCCTAAACCCTAAACCCTAAACCCTAAACCCTAAACCTAAAATGCATACGGTTGAGGGGACTTAGCGTAGGAAAGGTTACAAGTACCCCCAATCGGACTGATAAGTCTTTATGAGCGTAACAGGGGGGCCTCAATAATTAGACTAGGGTGCGGGGGTATATTATACTATAACTATAGTAAAGAAACCCCGAAAACCCTATACTAATTATTGAGCCCCTAGATTAGCTGCCTTCGTTATAACTCCTGTCGCCAAGTCCCCTGACCCAGTCGAGGCCCTAAGCCGACGCAGAACCCAAAGCTCGGTTTAGGGTTTAGGGTTTAGGAGTTTAGCAGTTTAGGAGTCTGGGGTTTAGGAATTAGGGTTTAGGAGTTTAGGAGTTTAGGAGTTTAGGAGTTTAGGAGTTTAGGGTTTAGGGTCTAGGGTTTAGGGTTTAGGAGCTTAGAACTTAGGGTTCAGAGTTTAGGAGTTTAGCGTTTAGGGTAAACCGGACTCAGTCTAAGGTTCGAAGTATGGGCCCCTAATATGGACTCTTAGGCCTTTCTAGGGACCCTCAGGGGTACATATAGGGTATAGAGTAGGCGTATAAGGATTCCAAGATTAAAGAGCCCATGCTAGGGGCCCCTGGTTTCAACCTTTTAGACTCAGAAGACCCGGAGGGCGCTTATGGAACCAAATCCATGCCCTGAGTTACAGGAAACTACAGGTGGGGAGTTTGGGGTATATAGGGCTTCTATAAGACTTCTATAAGGCATATAGTATATAGACCTGCTATAGGGCTTCTATAACGGTAACCACCCACCTGAACATGTCCTAGACTAAGCCCTCTCCTAGAACCCTTGGCGATGCGTAAAGGAACCCTTAAAGAGCCCTGGCACAACCGATCAACGACGCCTGAAAGGAACTTCTCCAGTAAAGCCCTAAATCCTTAAGCCTAATCCTCTAAGCCCTAGACCCCTACGCCCCGAACCCTAAACCCCTAAACTGCTGAACCCTGAAACCCTAAATCCCTAAACCCTGAACCAGCCCAAGCCCTAAAGCCCTAAGCCCTAAACCCGAAGCCTTGAACAACCCTCAACCATAAGCCCTAAAGCCTATATAAACCCTCAACCGCCCTAAACCCCTAACCGCCCTGAACCCAAAACAGTAAGGCCGATACCCTTAACCCGTAACCACCCTAAACCCTAAAGCCTATAAAGCCTAAACGCGAAACCCTGACGCCTATACCCTTCGCCGGTAACCACCCTCAACCCTAAATCCTAAAGCCTAAACGCGAGACCCTAAGGCCTATACCCTTCGCCGGTAACCGCCCTAAATACTAAAGCTCCAGCTCCTGCGCCTGGGATCGGGTGTGCCAGGAGCGCAGCAACCAGATCTGGCTTGTCCCCATGATGCCTCAGAGAGGTTTAGGGTTTAGGGCTTCGGGCTTGGGGCTTAGGCGTCTAGGGTTTAGGCGCTTAGGTTTAGAGTTTAGGGTTTATGGTTTAGGTATTAGGGTTTAAGGGTGTAGGATTTAGGGTTTAGAGTTTAGGGTTTCGGGCTTGGGGTTTAGGATATTAGGGTTAAGGGATCAGAAAGTTCTGCTCAAGGGTCTAGTGTTCATTACAGGGGTTTCCAGGGTTTAAGGCGTTTCAGGCTTGCGACTTCCGAGTTTTCTAGGGTGCGTCGATGTCAAATCCAAAGGGTTTAGGGCGGATCTTTCTACTATATAATGATAGTAAGGAACTCCCAGAATTGTCTTGCTAATTAACTAGCCCCTACATTAGCGGCACCAGTGGTGTGCCAGTAGTCGCTGGCTTCTTGTAGCAGAGAGGCATACAAGTCTGCCTTGTTCTTCTGCGCTCCTGTTTGTGCTTAGGGTTTAGGGTTTAGGATTTTAGTGTTTAGGGTTTAGGGGTTTAGCGTTTAGGATTTTAGGGTGCTTGTCGACGAAGGATGAGCAGAAGAGGCGTCGCATGGAGTTCCCGAAGAATGGAGCGGAAGATCAACACTCCGCTGGGTCCCGGCAATAGCAACTCGCGCCGACTCCAGTTTTGCATCAAGGCTCGCTTCGGAGGAAAGAGGCTTTTTGGATGGCATGCACGTGGGGACTTTCTTTCGGGCCCTGGCCCTAAACCCTAAACCCTAAAAGCCAACAGTGAATCTGTTCGATGCAACTTTCGCTTCCAGGGGCATTCGCTGAGCCCTTGAAGCTCAGGGATCAAGGCCGCCACGCCGCTCACGGTTTCGTTAGGTTTTAGGGTTTGAAGTACTCCGCGGATACTACAAGGGTTCTATAAACTTGGCGTACTTCTGAACCCCTCCTAAAAGTTAAACTTTTAGCCTAGATAATATAGTTCATATAGAAACCCAAAAAGTTAAAGTCTAAAGAGCCAACCAGAAGAACGCCAAGTAAAGGTACTATAAGGATTACTATAAGAGCTTTGGGGCGTTGGGCTTTTAAATCGTTTTGGGGGACGCAGAAAAAGGGGGAATCAGGAGAGCCGCAAGTACCCTACAGGGCCGCAACAGTTCCTGATGTATGGGTCAGTACCTACAGGATCAGCGGACTTAGTAACTGGGTGGTAGCTGCAACTAGTTTTGTGAGCTAACTTGCCTTTAAGAAAATCCTAAACCCTAAACCCTAAACCCTAAACCCTAAACCCTAAGCCCTAAACCCTAAACCCCTAAACTCAGAATCCTGTTGGGGAGCCTAGGGTGCTGGATGGGAGCAACCCTAGGAGAGACGCTATGCCAGGAACGGTTTCGGGTGTAGAGTCGAAGCCCAA